TACAGGAGAAAAGAAATTTCAGTTATTTAACTAGCATACAGTGGCACTCCTTTAAATGTACTAAGGTGAAAATACTATATTCACCCTCTATGAAGTTCTTTTAATCTCAATTACCTTCTTAACATCATCGTCCTCTGGGTCGCTTTCTTGGCGTGATTCTCTCCGAGTCCGACGCTCCCCGCCCAGCCTGACAAAGGAAAATGAATTTAAAAGGACCAATTCAAACTCTGATCTCCTATACGTCTCAAGCTGGTTAAGTTTTTGTAGTACAAGTCAGAAAAGTAACCCAAATTATTTTCTTAATATTATTCTTCTCATGACCTTTACTTTGGTAAAGTTTCTGTTATTGTTAGTGAAGAATTGAGTTTTGAGGGATACCGGCTGTCTCAGTTCAAATACCAAGGAAACAGACTCAGGGTAAGTGCTATACTACTCAATTCTAATACAACTTAATTCAACAATATTTATTAAATTTTTATATTTGTATGCTACCTCAGAAAATGGAACATACAACTATGCCTTCAGAAACTTGTCCTCTAACATACCTACTGACTGCCCCTTCAAGGTCTCTCTGTTTGGCTGGGGGTCCTCCTCCAATATCTGAGAATCCACGCCTGCAAAAAAAAAGGCCAACATAAAGTAAAGCACTTGGAATTTGAGAAAAATGGTATTTCCATTTAAGGAAGATAATTTAGTTGCAATAAAAAAAAAACTTCCAGTTAAAGTAACCTTAAATTGGCATTTACTTCAAGATGCTTTTGTAGCATTTCTTTTAAAACTATGAGAATAAGTTAAGTGTGCACATAACTGGTATAGTTACTATATTCTTCAATGTCTAGTTTTGAATGCAAATGAAATTCCAGGATAACTCTGCAGAAAACTACAGCTGATCACAGCTTCAAACAAACCAAACATTTCTAACATTGGCTCGACCACGAAATTTGTTTAAATCATTTCATTAATTTAGTGTAGTAAGTACCAATGAATTAAAATCCTAAGGAAATCTTACCTCAGCAATAAACTACCACGTCCTCTACCTCCACCAGGACCAGAAAGGGCCAGCAATCTGGCTTGGATGGGCCTACAAGATATTTACAAATCAGTACAAAAATCGTTTCTAATAGCACCAAATATTTTAACGGGTGCGGTTCATCATCAAAAGAAATTAACCAGAAAAGTTCGAAGATGATGGTTTCAAAACCCACGTGTTTGAAACAGGACACTAAGCACTTTGTTAACTTCCTGATTTTTCCACGACCAGTATCACAGAAATTATATTTACCTCGATGCCACTACACATTAACAAGCTTGAATCAGGTCCGGATTTCGCCAACCCAAAGGAAGTTGCACGTGGGCAAGAGCCAGGGGGCGAGGCGGCCGGACCGCGTCCCGGGAGCGTCTCCGGGCCAGCCCCGAATCGGGTGGCCCCGGGAGAAGGAAGGCTTTGTGCTGCAGTTCCGGGCCTGCAGGGCCGAGGGCGGGAATCGGCAGTCTGGGCCTTCCCGCTGGACGGGAAGCCATCCTGGCGCACCTAGGCCCCGCTCTCCTTCCTCACGCACCTGAGCTCCAGGACTTACGGTGGGAGCCTTGGAAATTCCCACCTCACCGAGGACGGGGTTCCACGGCTGCCCCGGGAACAGGCCTCGATGTTCGAGTCCTCTCAGGACTGTCCGCCCTCACCGCCCCAACTCACCCCGGCTTCGTGGCTGCCTCTCGGAGCCGGCATTTCCCATCCGCCCCTCACCTCACGTCATTCGGATCCCGCCCGGTGAGCTTGCGAATATTCTCATCCACATTCTTTAAGCTCTCTTTGGCCTTTTCTAGCTGCTCCTGCAAAGTTCTCACTGCGACCGCCATCTTCTCCCTGCAGCAGGCTCCGAGACTGCTCTCCAGGCCACGCCTGCTTGTGTCGCGCCGCGAGACGCGAGAAGACTGACTGCTGGACTCAGCCAATGGAGATAGGAGTTGTATTTCGGCCTCAACCACTCAGCAACCGGAAGGGGGAGAAGCTGCCAGCCTTTGTGACTCTGGGCCAATGAAAAGTCCGCCAGACGGTCGCTTCCCTCCCCGATTAGCTGCGGGTGGCTGGGCTCGGCTTCTAGCGCAGAGTCGGGGCGGATTTGAGAGTCTCTGGGTTCCCGAAGACGTGAGTTTGCGGGCCGGTTCTTCTGGCGGGGAGAGTGGAGTTTTCCAGCCCTTTTAACCTGTATATGACGGCCTCTTATCGTTTTATCATCTGTTCCCCTCAGAGTAGGGTGCAGGCGAGTCTTTTTTCCCCTTTTTCCCGGGTAAATGATTTGATTAGGACAGGGTGCGGCCGTTCTGTTGGTGCGCATGCCCAGAGAGGCAGTGGGAGGGGCGCAGGCTTCTCTTGACTAGGTTAAGCTCAAATGAGCAGAAGGAAGCGAAAAGTGAAGGAAGAGGAAAAGTCATTCATCGTAATAGCTAACAATTGCTTTGTGTTGTACTCTGTGAAACATTTCACGTGCCTTATCCCCCACAAACCAAAAGCGTGAATAAACTGCCTGTTAATACTGATAAGGAAATACCGTAACTGTCCCCAGGTCACGCCGGCCCAGAATCATCATACGATCGATCAGACTATGTGCAAGGCTTTACTACAATTAAAAAAGAGACAGAGACAGAAGAGACGTGCATTAGCCTCTACACCGGTCTAGAGCTGGTTGGTTTAAAATAGGGTCTGGGGGAGCAGCGCTACTGTTAGCTGTGTGTGTGTCGTCCACCTTCTGGTTCTGCTCTACCCGCACTGCCAAAGTGAGAACCGGCTTTGTTCCAGAAATGTATTTGTAAATTGTAGATCACTAAGCATTTTCCCACAGAAACAATATTATCAATAATCCTTGTGTTCTCATCCTCCATCTGCAGCCAGGCATCCTTGCACCAAGCATTAGCAGGCCAACTGTATTTAATCTGAGTTACCATTTTAATTCATCCAGCAATACTTACAAGCCCTTACTGTGTTAAGCTAGACTCTGGAAAAAAGCCTAGAACAAGATAACTGTGGTTCCTGCTGCCATGTAGTCTGTAGGCTCCTCAGGGAGCAAAGATCATTCATGTACTTATTCATTCAACAAATATTTATGGAACGCCTGCTTTTTGCCAGGCACTATTCTAGGCCCTTGGATAGTCAGTGTACAGTAAAGATATCTGCCCACAAGGAGCTTGTAGGCAGGAAGAGTGAGGAGACATATGATAAGCGTAAGTAAATTACATAGCATGGTAGAAATGGGTTAAGTGCTATAGAAAAAAGAAAAAGTAAAACTGGATAAGAAGGATGAGTGTTGATAAATAATTACATGACTCTGGGACTTCCCTGGTGGTCCAGCGGTTAAGACTCCGTGCTTCCACTGCAGGGGGCTCTGGTTCGACCCCTGGTCTGGGAACTAAAATCCTGCATGCAGTGTGGTGTGGGAAAAAAAAAAAATTACATGATTCTGATTGTGAGCATACTTTGTCTCATTGATCCTTATTACAATCCTGTGTAGTAGGCAGTACATGAAACCTGAGAATGTGGTAATGGTACCACGAAGTATAACAATGTTTCCATGGGAGATGCTTCTAGAGTTAGCCAAAAACGTAGGATCTATTCTTACTTCCGTAGACTCTATTACTAAGATCCTGGGAAATTTAACATAGTCTAATTTATGGGGGATAATCAGTAGGATGCCATGTTCAACATTTAGTAATGCTCAATAAATATTAGTTTCCCCTTTAGTCTCCAGAATATGCAAAGAACACCATGTTACTGTGGTTTGAGAAATTGACCTTGGTAAGTGGCCAGTCTTTTGCTTAATCTTTGACCTTGATGGTGGTGATGAGGGAGAATGCAGTTGGGACATAAAGGACCTGATTTCACATATGGGAAATTTTAGTGCTGGAAAAAAAGATTAAGATTGCAAAATACTCTTCAAAATTAGTGTTTCTTTTCAAAGGGTTAGGTGAAACTTACATGCTTGATTTTATGAGGTGATGGAAAAAACGGATCCAAACATTAGAAGGGGATATGAAAGGGTATGAAGAGTTGAGAGGTTATTGTTAACAATTTGAGAAGACTCGACATATTACTTCGGGGGGAAACAATGAATTAATTGGGGGAAAAATCTGCTTTGTAAATTACTAAGAAAAGATCTAATCATAGGCTAAGCATCACGTTTAAGACAAAGTTTGCCAAATTTAAGACGTGCATATGATCTAACATATGCATTCGCATGTCTGTAGGGGTTAAGTCCCACATCCACCATAGATTCTTAGATGAACTCCGTCCCAAAGTGACGTCGCATTTCTGATGTCTTTAATTTGTATTTTCTGATTCAAATTACCTTGTGCTTTGCTTACTCCATCCTTCTTGTCCCTTGTACCCTACTCCCAGTAAACCTCCTGGTGGTCAAAACGGCTCTAAATCTTTTTGTACACCCAGGCTTAATCCAAAATGGATTGGGATAATCTCTCAATATACCTAAAGTATATAGCCCGAAAAATGACGATTTATTCACTTAAAACAATTGTATTTATTTATTTATTTAGGCTGCACCAGTTCTTAGTTTCTGCATGCGGGATCTTTAGTTCCGGCATCCAGACTTAGCTGCCGCATGCATGCGGGGATCTAGTTCCCCGACTAGGGATGGTACCCCGGACCCCTCCATTGGGAGCGCGGAGTCTTACCCACTGGACTACTCGGGTAGTCCCAATATTCGCTTTTTTTTTTTTTACAACTTTTCATATTAAGCAACATATGGCAGAAGTGGAAGCTTTTGATGAAGCTAATAGAAATTCTTGTCGGTTCTAACATAGCTAATCAACACAGAGATGGCAGCGGGAGGTCCCGTCTTATTTTACCACCTCCCGCGCCGGCCGCCTTCTATGTTGTAGGGGGAAGAAACCTTCCTCCTCTCTGGGCGTCAGCGGTTCACCCCGCGGAAGGAACTCTATGACCATAGAGCTGGCGGAATGCCGGGGTAGAGGAGACCGGAAGTTGTTTTTTCGCCTCCCCCGCCCAAGGGCCGGATGGGGTCTCCGGGAGCTGGGTTTGGTTCCCGCTGCTGTCAGACCCTTTCGTTTTGCCCAAGGACTTAGTGGTCCTAGGGTGGGCTCGCCGCGGCCCCCGGCTCACTCCGGTATCAGCCTTCGGGAAGCTGAGTGAATTCCGCGGTCTCTTAGCAACGAGGGACGGGCTGCGGACTGAGCGAGCGGCGGCGGCTCAGCCCAAGCTGCCCAGGCGCTAGCCGGAGCTCCGAGCCCGGCCCAAACGGGAGCCTAAACCCGGAGCTTGGAAGAATAAGCAGGAAATGGCGGACGAGGCGTTGTTTTTGCTTCTGCATAACGAGATGGTGTCTGGAGTGTACAAGTCCGCGGAGCAGGGGGAGGTGGTGAGTGCTGCCACACGCCCTTGAGGTCCTTTTGCGGTGACACTCCTTGTTTCCACTCAGTTTTCTTTTACCCCCGTCCCATCACCACTCATCGCCTCCCGAAGTGTAGGCAGATTGGTCCACCTTAAGGTATCTTAAGCCTTAGAACCTATCAGCTGTCTTCAGTCTTTCATCCTTGGCTCTTTCGTATCTTTGATACCTTTTTGTCCAGTCCCATATCTGTGTGTGGCACGCCACAGATTTTTTGTTTTGTCCCTTCCATGTGTTGTCCCTACCATGATTTGCGTCAGAGTTAACTGCTGATTTTGGCACCCCTACTTAATTCGGCTGTCACTTCCAGCACTTCCCAGTCGTCCACTGGACAGACCTCTCCCAGCCTGAGAATCCTGTCCCTCCCTCCCCATCCCTAACCCTCAGTAACACTCCAGGCAACTCAAAGAAAGAGGGCTAATGAGATAATTTAAAAGAATATTTAGTGTCCATTATATGTCAGAGCTAGTTGCTAGGGATATGGTAATGAGCGAAACAAGGGCCCCATCCTCCTGGAGGTTACTTCTAACGTGTGGTAGTCTTCATTCGCTAATTGATTCATTCAGAAAATATATTAAGCGTGTATGTGTATTGTGGGCCTGACATTGTTAGATGAATAAGATAAAGTCCCTCCCTAACAGTCGTTGGGGAATAAGGGTTCAATGAATAATTAACGTATTGGGTGGTAATTAGATATGGAATCATGGAGTTGTAGGATTTTATAAATGAAATATTATAAAGCCATGCTCAAGTCAGAAGCTCTAGTTTCTATAATGCTATTTGATAAAGAGGGGTGGAAAGTGAGGGCAGGAAAAGCATCCTAGGCAAAGGTAAAGTCATAGAGGTATGAAAAAGTGCAGTGCATTTAAATATGCTTGAGTATTTCACTGTGACTAGATTGAATAGGTGGAGAGTGAGAAGTTTTGAAAGCTGAAGCTAGAAAGAGGTCTGTATGATTAACAGACATGGACCTTCTCAGTGGAGGATTTTTAAGGAGGAGAATTACATGCTCCATTTGCATTTCAGAAAGATAAACCATTATTTGGGCTGGAGAGGGAAGGTCCTTGTAGTGAGAAGACCCATTATTGGAGGAGTCCAGGCAGGAGATAATGAAGATCTGGATAACGAGAAGAGGAGAGAAGGTTTGAGAGATAGGAGGTAGAATCTCTAGAACTTGATTAGGTATAGGAATGAGAGTTGAAAAATTATCCCCAGGTTTTTAGCTTGAGCCACTGGGTTGGATGGAGAGGGAATAAAGAAGAAAGAGGTGATGATAATGAATTATTTTGAACAGGTTGAATTTATGGCACCTGTACGACATCGAGGAAGAGGTACTGTCAGTTTGTAAACTATAAGAAGGATACTGGCTGTTTTGGGTACTATAACAAGAATGCCACAGACTGAGTGGCTTATAAACAACAGAAATTTATTTCTCACAGTTGTGAAGGCTGAGAAGTCCAAGATCAAGGCACCAGCAGATTCAGTGTCTGGTGAAAGCCTCCTCCTGGTTCATTTATGGATGTGTTTTGGCTGTGTGCTCACATGGTGGAAGGGACTAGCTAGCTCTCTGGGGTCTCTTTTATAATAAGGGCACTAATGCTATCCTTAAGGGCTCCATCCTCATGACAGAATCACCTCCCAAGGGCCCTACCTCCTAATACTATCTGGGAGTTAGGATTTCAGCACACTAATTTTAGGGAGATATTAGTAGGAAGACATCAGGAAGAGTATTGGAAATGAAGCAAATTCTATTCCTTTTTTTTTTTTCTGGCTGTGCCTTGCTGCATGTGAGATTTAAATTCCCCAACCAGGGATTGAACCACTGGACCACCAGGGAACTCCCCCAAATTCTATTCTCATTCAGATCCATCTGTAATAGAGATTTTTTCCAATTTACAAACTTTTGACTTTATCATCATCCACAAGCAATAGTTAATGTTTTGCATCTGTGCTAAGTGCTGAGTAGCAGACATTTGCTGTTTGTGCAAAGTCAGCTTTCCTTATACCCTTTTCCCAAAAGAATAATTAGCAACACACCTTTTTTTTTTTTTTTTTTTTTCTTTGCGGTACGCGGGCCCCTCCACTGTTGTGGCCTCTCCCGTTGCGGAGCGCAGGCTCCGGACACCTAGGCTCAGCAGCCATGGCTCACGGGCCTAGCAGCTCCGTGGCACGTGGGATCTTCCCGGACTGGGGCACGGACCCATGTCCCCTGCATCGGCAGGCGGACTCTCAACCACTGCGCCACCAGGGAAGCCCCAACACACCTTTTTTAATCACAAAACCTCTGCTCCCCACCCCACCATGTGTGCAATCAATTCTCTTCATTCTACTCTTTCTACTTTCTTTTCCTGTTCCAACTCTTGCCCAGGAAAACCTTTTTTAAAAATCCCTCTCTTTTTTCCCCCAATGGATTAGCTAAAATAAAACAGCTGTTCTAATCATGACTGATAATTCTGAGACATGTGCTAGTCCTATAAGAGAAAGGAAATCCATAAGTTTTGAATCATTTAAACTAAAAACAACTTTCTTTTCCTATTGCAATTTGTATATGGTGGGGAAAAAATTTTAAGTCCATATAAGCAAAAGGGATTTTTAAAAAGTTATATGGTAGTCCACAGGGCAAGATGGGAATAAAGACAGACCTACTAGAGAATGGACCTGAGTTTACCGGGAGGGGGAAGGGTAAGCTGGGACAAAGTGAGAGAGTGGCATGGACATATATACACTACCAAATCAGATAGCTAGTGGGAAGCAGCCACATAGCACAGGGAGATCAGCTCGGTGCTTTGTGACCACCTAGAGGGGTGGGATAGGGAGGGTGGGAGGGAGGGAGACGCAAGAGGGAAGAGATATGGGGATACAAGTATAACTGATTGACTTTGTTATAAAGCAGAAACTAACACACCATTGTAAAGGAATTATACTCCAATAAAGATGTTAAAAAAAACAAAACAAACAAAAGTTATGTGATAGTCTTGATGAGTAGAATCCATATTGGAGTCTAGGTGTATGAGGGTTTGTTAGTGTCTCTACTTCGAGTGTGCTTCAAATTTTTCATAGTAAAAAAATGTAAAAAAGATATAATCCTATCATCCAGAAATGGTTTTTATATATCTTTTTAAACATAAAGTCATAAGTGTAAGTGAAATAAAGGAAAAAACCCAATGTTCTCACCTTCCCAATCAATGATTTTCAAACTGTGCTTGAAGAGGAATTAAGTCTAAAAACTGAATAATTGGACATTTACCAATTTATGGAGAATAGTGTTTTTTTTAAGGTTAATGGATAAAATATTCTTAGGTTTTTCTTTAAAATTTGGTACTTTACCTAGTGAGCACTCACAGATGCCAAAGTGAATGAACAAGTGCAGCATCAGAAGGTTTTTCCTGGGGCTTAATTCAAAAGCTCATGTGATCAATAGCTAAGATTTGAGAATGTCTGCATATAAGCATATTTCCTGCTTATCAGTATGTTCCTGGGTTCCTGTTCCACAAAGAGCATCATGACTTACAGGTACTCATTCTACCTAAGCAAGTTTGGGAATGGGTGTGGAAATTAACAGAATGGTGCTGAGTGGTCCAGTAGAGAAACAACATGATTTGGTTTTTACAAAGTCTGTACCAGAAATACAGAAGATAATCAAAGGAAGAAAAAAAAACTAGAGATGAGATCACTTGGAAGGCTCTAATTGAAGACCAGGAGAGAAATGAATGCTAAGAGCTACTTAAGCAGTCAGGAGAGAGAAGATGGATTTTGAAAAGCATGTAGATAATAGGCTCCACAGGACTGCAGTGTGTGTGGAGGGCTGGGAGCAAGGAGGTGAAGAAAATGGAAGTTTTCTGGTTGTGGTAACTAGATAGATGGTGGTGCCATTGATGAAGTTAAAGAATTTTGGAGGCAGAGCAAGCTGAGAATGTTAAGATAATATCATTTGAATACACCTAATTTGAGGGGCCTGTGGGACCTCTGGATGGCTGTGTCCACTAAAGTCTACTAGAAATACAGGTTTAATAGTCAGCCCCATTAGTAGCATACATGGTTCCTTAGAATAGAGTTCAGCAAATAATGAGGCCTATGGTGGTAGCGGGAGGCAAAGGCTTCAGAATACATAAAAATTCTTGCCCTTTTGGAGCTGTATTCTAGGAGAGGGTGGGGATGAAGGGACATGAGCAATACAAAATTAGTAAAATGTACATTAGGTTAAATGGTGAAAGAAGTTCCTTGGAGACAAGCAGGGAAATGAGATAGAGCATCAGAATCACTTTAGGAGGGGTTCTTAAAACACAGCTCGCTGACGCACACCTACAGTTTCTGATTCACTAAATTGGGGGTGGGATTACAGAATTTGCAGTTTTGACAAGTTCCCATGTGATGTTGATGTTGCTAGTCTTGGGACACAATTTGAGAATTACAAGGATAGAAAGTTTCTGAAGTGGAATGATACTGTATTTTAAAAGGTTGAAATGAGCCTCATTGAGATGGTGACATGTGAGTGAAGACTTAAAGTGAGTGAGTTGGTCATGTGAATATCTGGAGGAAGAGCTGCCTATGAGATTGGAGCCTGCCTGGCATGATTAAGAACAGCAAGGAGATCAGTGGAGCTGGATGGAGTGAATGAAGAAGAGTAGAAGGTTGAGGCCAGAGAGGCACAGGAGTCTGGATTGTATAGGGCTTTGTAGTTCATCCAGAGAATTTTGAGTCTTCGACTTAGGGGTGGTATTTAAAGCCTTAAGAGTGGATGAGATTGTCAAAGGAAGAGTGAAGCAATTGCATGATTCCAGGCATAGGAAGGTGGGGTCATCAACTAAGACATACTGAGAAATGGAAAGCTTGGATGACTGTAAGAGACATTTTGAAGCAAGGGACGATAGAACTTAGTGAAGGCACAAGGGGAATGACTGACAGAAAAGTCAAAAGCGATACCATGACCTCAGTTTTATAACAGAGGAGAGGAGTTGAAAATGGAAAAAGCCAGGGAAGGTGAGAAGAGTAATTGGGAAGGGGCTTTGGCATTTCTGAAAAGTAGTAACAGTTCCCTGTTTATCTTATTGCCTTATGAAAATGATTAGTACTAAGAAAATTCAACTATGACTTGTAATTCACTTTTTCTTACAATGTTTCAGTGAAAAAAGTATAAATATTTACATTCTAGCATTCTAAATTTATTCAAAACTGTTTTTAAATAGGAAAATGGACGCTGTATAACTAAGCTGGAAAACATGGGGTTTCGAGTGGGACAAGGATTGATAGAAAGGTGAGCAGTATGGATTTGAAAATTTTCTTCCAGGTAGGTTATGAACAAAGATGATCCATTTCAAAAGACTGAATAAAACTTGAGACAATTTAATTTTAATTCCCAAACTTTATTTATTCTCTGTTCTTTAATTCACAGATTGAAATTTCTTTTTAGGTCTGATGCTATTTTAACTCAGTTATCCAACTTTCATGTTTTAATATCTGAAGAAAATATGTATCTTCTATGTTTTAGACTTTTTTCCTGAAAACTTTGGTATGCTGAAACAACCATCTAAAATCTTACTGCATTTCCTACTTAAGATCTAATATGTTCTTTAACCTAAATGGAATTTTGTTTAAATGCATACCTTAGAGTCTCTGTTTATGCATGTAATAATCTTTCAATTTATAGATCAATTTTTTTAGTATTCCTTTCTTACTATCTGAAATAGTTGAACTCTGATTATATTTTATGTAACAATACCATGATTATGCTCAGTTTTTTTTTCTTAATGTGCTAATTGTACCTAAAATTGCTGCGTACTGTTAGACTAATACACCTTTAGACTAATTTTAGCCCCCAAATTATATAACAGAATGTGAATCCATTGAGATGGGATCTACTTTGCTTGGTGCTTATCACTTTATGACTGTCAGTAAATGTTCAGTGCTGTTGTGGCATTTGAAAATTAGTTAATAATCTGCCCCTCCTACTTTCTTTGGAGGAAAAGTACTGTGTTACTTCTAGTTGATCTTTTTAGGTTTACAAAAGATACTGCAAGGTTCAAGGATGAGTTAGATATCATGAAGTTCATCTGTAAAGATTTTTGGACTACAGTATTCAAGAAACAAATTGACAATCTAAGGACAAATCATCAGGTATTTAGATAAGGCCTATTTTTTAAGTCCTTTAACTTAATATAAATGTATTTTAGTGATTTACTTACTATGTAAAACTTAATTTCTCGTCAACTTTGGAATGTTTCTCTTACATGTTATTAATACATCATTACTTTTTTTCTCTAATAGGGTATAGTGAATAAAGACCAAGAGACAATTATCAGTAGTTATAGCTGTCCCTTTCCCTCAATTAAATTTTAAGTTTTAAAAAGTAGCAGATGTCAGAATGATAAAGGTTTTATTATTTCATTATTATTACTTATAATATGCAGAACCAGAAATATATCACATTTTTCTGAAGGCTAATTTAGAGAGCATATTTAACTCTTAAATAACTCTTACCTGTTTAGTTGCTGTCATATTTCTTATTCTTAAAATATTTTGTTAAAATAAAAATAGGTTGCATGGAAAATCATGCATAAGATAGATTTTATAAAACTCAAGGAAATATTTGGAGTATATTTGGCATTTTAATAAGGTATAAAAATGAAAATAATGTATCTTGTAGCTACCAACAGAATTCATTTTTTCAGATAACAGTATCAACCTTAGCTTATAAGTACCTGAAATGCTAATAGGAAGAAGTGACTATGATTTTTGGCTTTCTAGGTATGAGTTAATAACATATAGCTGCTAATTTCACCCGGACATGTATTTCTGATTCTTTCGCACTAGACTGTGTTCTTTAAGGATAGGAACTGTCTTAGGTATCTTTGTATCTTCAGTATCTTAAAGCATTCAATAAATATTAGTGTTATAAAATGCTGAACTCTTCAGCTTGAACATTACAAAACTTCTTCATATAAGGAAAATTTGACCAACAGAAAGGAGAGTTTTAATAACTTTAAAAAGTTCTTAAATTGTTTTGAAGGGAAGAGTACAGATTACATTGACTTTGGATGTTTTTCTATTTTTGGAACAGGGCATCTACGTACTTCAGGACAACAAATTTCGCCTGCTTACTCAAATGTCTGCAGGAAAACAGTATTTAGAACATGCATCAAAGGTATTTAATGGAATAGAAGTTCGGGGTTTTTTTATTATGAAAAAAGTAGAACCATAGGGAAAAGTACAATGCCAATCACAACAGACTTTTGAATTCAAAATATGTTTTTAAATTGTTCCTTTTGTTTAAACACTTTTCAATGAAATAGGAGGTGTTCATCATATTGAAACAACTTACATTAACCTGTAGCTAAGTAGGCTTATGATGACCAATTAAAGAAACACTATAGTTTAAATGCCATTAAAAATGTAGATTAATGGTAGATTCTCGAATACAGTATGGATCCATCAGAAAAGATACTCAAGCTTAAAAAAACTGGTATTAGCTATGCAGAATTATTCACCTCAGAGTTCATATTTACAATCTCCATCAGTAAATTTTAAAAATGTTTTAAATATAATTAACATTTGTTTCTAAGAATACATGTTTTGTGTTAAGTATATCTGTGTTTCTGGGTTTCATGTATTTTTTTTCAGTCTCAGGTAGGAATCAATAAATAGACCAGATGTATTAAAGAAAAGCTGACAAGTTTTAATGTAAGGGTTCCTTTGAAGTGGTTAAAATATCTTGGGCAAGCATAGCTCCAGTGGCGCAATCGGTTACTCTGCGGTACTTATAAAATACCTTGGTCAGTATGTATAAGCTGCTGTTTATCTGTAAAATCTGTCCATATCTAAATTATCTAACACAAAGGCAGTTTGGTGTAGTGGAAAGAGTATGGACTTGGGACCAAATAAATCTAGATTTTAAGCTAACTCCACAACTTATAGGTTTGTGACATTGGGTAAGTTACATAACCCCTCTGGACCTTCCTTAGTATCCTTATTAATAAAATTGATTATAATAATACCTATATTATAAAGAATCTCTAGGTTCTCTCCCAGCTTACAATTTCATGACTCCATATCTGATTACTTATCAGTACCCATTTATTTATATTAATTATAAAATAATAATATTCTGTATTATTCATAGATACATAGTAGTGTTGTTGAATATCATGCAAAATGTAGATAATAAAAAATTTCTTGGATTATTTGATTTTTGGTTCTCATTTTTGTCCTGGTTGTCTCTGCTATGGCATAGTCCCATTTCCCTTCCTTGTTTCCATATGACAGGGTTTCTCAACATTGGCGCTTTGATATTTTAAACTAGGTAAGTCTTTGTTTTGGCAGGCTATAAGTTTTGAACAAGTCAGGATTCTTGGTTGTAGAAAGCAGAAACCAATTTTGATTGAATGGAATAATAATTAGTTAGCTTACAGAACTGATGGGAAGGCTCAGAAAACAGGCAAGAACCATGGGAGCAGGAATTCCCTCGTGGTCTAGTGGTTAGGATTTGGGGCTTTCACTGTTATGGCCCAGGTTCAATCCCTGGTTGGGAACTGTGATCCCTTAAGCCGAGCAACATGGTGTAGCCAAAATTAAAAAGAACCATGGGAGGTTAAAGCAGCCAGAAAGCCCAAATCACTCCACAAGGAGGGTCTATTTAGAACCCTTCAGGCAGCACTGAAGGTAGACACAAATCACCTCTGCTGCCTCTGGAACTAATTCTAACCGGTTTCCAGCTTGGTTTTGTCACAATCATGATTTTCAATGATTTGAAAAATTCTTCCACAGCCCTTTCTTAAACAGCAATGACTTATTAATATCAAGGTTTAACTATCATTTATCAATAGCTTTACTATCTTAGTAAATCCTTAATATATTTTACACTTTTTTTTTCTTTTTAGTACTTAGCATTTACATGTGGCTTAATCAGAGGTGGCTTATCAAACTTGGGGATAAAAAGTATTGTAACAGCTGAAGTATCTTCAATGCCTGCCTGTAAGTTGAATTCACATTTCTTACAAATGTTTTTAGCAATTATTTTTCAGGTCTGGTGTTTTTTTGTTTGTTTCTTGTTTTTGTTACTTAGAGAACATTTAAAATGCTAAAACCATTTCATTTTACTTTTATCAAATTTTAACATTTAATGTAGTAACATGTAGCATACTTATATTCATAGTCAATGATTTTTTAATTCATAATAGTGATTTAAGAAAATGTGCTAAGGAAATCCAAATTTATAAGACAACTTAAGGAATGATTCTTAACTCTTAAAGGACAATTTTCTGCAGTATTCTTTTAAGATAGCAAATTTCCTTATAGTGTTGAAAAATTTTTTTAAACAGTTTTCTAGAAAATATCTATTATATAAAGCTAAATAAAGCCAACTAGTCTTTTATTGCTAAACTCCCTTCCAAAGATCTTTCCACCAGAGCTACCAACCAAGAATAAAATTGGCTTTGAGCATCACTGTATTTCCTTTCTATTCACAATAATTAGCAATGAAATACCTAAAATGTAGGAATCACAAAGAAACAAAAGTAGTCATTCACAAACCAGATAATCATCTGATAAAAACGAAATTGACTTTATCAAATATTGTGAAGTGTGTGAAACGTTGTTTGATATAGCAAGTTTCTTGATTGAAACTACTTACTAAATGAAGCAGGAAACTGATGTTCAGGCCTGTTTTCCTTGTACCTAAAATCAAAGAATGATTTTTCATGTTTTTTTTAGGTAAATTTCAAGTGATGATACAGAAGCTATAGAAACTACTGAAATGCAAGGCTTCAATAGTGTAAAGAGATAAATTATTCCTGTATAAAGTATTTCAAGTAGCAATGATTTAATTACATTGTTGGACATTTGTATTGATATAAGCTATTTGCTAACTTATATAATGAAAGATGCACTCTTAAGCAGGAGTAAGGGTGTATTTTATCAATTTAATAGCACAGACCTTAAAACAGGTAAAGACACATTCTACTGTAACATACACTTTACTGAAACTATTCAGAATGAAAACCTAATTTCAAATAAGTAAACACCAATGCAGGACCCTTATTTAAACATTCTTATTTGCTTAGTGATATGTATTTAACCAGAGATGAAGAAACAAAACTCAGGGTTTGGTAAATTAGCATAAAGAAAGTATGTACCAATCAGAATCTTTTCGGTAAGAATGAACAAATTTTGGTTTTGTTTTATGAATTTGTTTTAGTTATTTAAAAAAAGCAAAGAGTACATTAAAATTTAAACTTAATTATTATTTTATTGCTTATAATTTATTTCTATTAAGAATCTTTATGCTTGTATAAGGATTTCATTATATACATTGTGTGGGTGTTGTGTATGATATATATATCATATTTAACTGCCTAAATTGCTTAAAAACTTTATTTCACTTTAATAGAATTCAGTTCTTGAGAGCTCCATTAATGTAATGAAGTGAAATATAGATCTAGATAAAGTGAGATATAGATGTGAATTCAGTGACTCCAGGGCCAAAGAATATTAGGTATTTGAGGAAGGAATTTTTATACTTCCTGTTATCAGTCTTGACTTTCAGTTTCTCTCTCCATGTGTGGAAGTGCTGGTGAAGATTCTAACATCTTTAACTTTTTTCCCCCTTATTTAGTCTTCCCCAAGGGCATAGGGATGGATGATTGGATTAGTCACACCAACATTCATGGGACCATATCTTCTCAGTGGGTTGGGGTCAGTGCTCATCTAGTGTATCTCTCACCTCCTCTCCCATCTGATGACCATGAAAGGGACAAGCATGGAGATGAAAGCTATCATACTGAGGATAGCAGGGTACACAGATAGAAAGTACCTGAATTGTGCTTCTGAATTAACCAATCCTGGAATTGCTTCACCTCTGGACTTTTTGTTATGTGAGATAATAAATTCCTTATATTGTTCAATCTACGTTTTGGTTGTGTATTTTGTTACTTGTAGCCAAAAAGAAGTCTCTCTTAGTAGAGACGAGGGGAAAGTTAGGTTATACAAAACACAATATGGGAATATTGAATTTCCTTTTTTTTTGTAGGGGGAGGGGAAGACATTTAAAGGTTTATATTTAAAACAGTAAAACCATAAAGTGCTAAAGAAAATATGAGGTTAGTTTTATGATCCTGTAGTAGAGAAAGCCTTTTCAAGACATGCAGAAAATCATAAAGGAAAATAGTAGAAAAAATAACATATCTTCAACAAATGGTACTGGGAAAACTGAATATCCACATGCAAAAGAATAGAACTGGACCCTTACACCATACACAAAAATCAACTTAAAAGTGCATTTAAGACTTAAGACATGCAGAAAATCATAAAGGAAAATAGTAGAAAAAAATAACATATCTTCAACAAATGGTACTGGGAAAACTGAATATCCACATGCAAAAGAATAGAACTGGACCCTTACACCATACACAAAAATCAACTAAAAGTGCGTTTAAGACTTAAGACCTGAAACTTTAAAACTCCAAGAAGAAAATAGGAGAAAAGCCTTTATAATATTGGTCTTAGCAATGATTTCTTGGATTTGACACCAAAAGAACAGGCAACAAAAGCAAAAATAGACAAGTAGGACTATGTCAAACTAAAAAGCTGCATAGCAAAGAAAACAATAGAGTGTAAAGGTAGCCTGTGGAATGGGGAAAATAGTTGCAAACCATGTATCTGGTAAGGGGTTAATACCTAAATTACACAAGGAACTAAAACTCTAGCAAAAACCCCAAATAACCCAATTAAAAAATGAACAAAGCACTGAAACAGACATTTCTCCAAAGAATACATACAGATGGCCAACAGGTATACGAAAAGATGCTCAGTATCATAACTAATGAGGGAAATGCAAATCAAAACCACCATTAGTTACCACACCACACCCACTAGGATAGCCATTAAAAAACAAACCAAAAAAACCCCCAAAACCCAGAAAATAAGTGTTGACAAGGATGTGAAGAAACTGGAACCCTTGTGCATTCTCAGTGGGAATGTAAAATGATATAGCCACTAGGGAAAAGAGTATAAAGATTCCACAAAAAATTAAAACTAGAACTACCGTATGATCCAGCAATCCCACTTGAGAGTATACAAAAGAATTGAAATCAGGATCTTGAAGGGTTATTTGCACTCCAATGTCCACTGCAGCATTATTAACAATAGCCAAGAAGCGTAAACAACCTAAATGTCCGTTGTATAAGGATTTGCACTATTTGGTTGTGCTCACTGATGGCACTTGATTTGTACTGGCATGCAAGGAAATACTGTGCAGCCAGTAAAAAGGATGAAATAGATCTACATGTATTTGCTTACATGGAATGATGTTAATTGGTATTAAGAGAAAACAGTTTGTTACAGGACACTGCACATGCAATATATAAAATATACATTATGGGGACTTCCCTGGTGGTCCAGTGGTTAAGACTCCATGCTCCCAATGCAGGGGGCACAGGTTCGATCCCGGATCAGGGCACTAAGGTCCCACATGCTGCAGTGAGGCCAAAATATATATATAAATATATAAAATATATAATATTTATATACATTATGAATATAAATACGATTGTGAGCATATCAAAAAGACTTGAAAGTTACAAGTAAATTGTGTATTAGATTATTTTAAAGTAATCCCATAATAAAGATATTTTTATTTGGGTATCCTTTTGTACAACTTTATATCTTAATTATAGCCATTAACAGCCCTAAGTGAATAGTAAACTTGTGTTGAAGAGCAGATGTATGTTTCAAAAGTAAAAACTACACTGTACGAATGACAAACTATGAGGACAGCATTTATAAACTATTTAGTCAGTGGCCTATGCTAACCATAATGACATAGTTCAATCCCCTGTGTCTACCGGTCAAACCTCATTAAGGGAATTTAAGCCTCGAGATGTCATCAGAACCTGCCTTGGTCCATTTGGGCTGCTATAACAGAATACCACAGATTGGTCAGTTTATGAAACACAGAAATGTATTTCTCACAGTTCTGGAGGCTGGGAAGTCCAAGATCAAGGCGCCTGTAGATTTGTTGTCTGGTGAGGGCCTGCTTCTTGGTTCACAGCCAGATGTCTTTTGACTGTGTCCTCACTTCGCAGAACTGAACTAGCTAACTCTCTGAGGTCTCTTTACAAAGGCAGGAGGGCTCTGCCCTCATGACCGAATAATCACTTCCCAAAGGCTCTGCCTCCTAATACTATCACCTCGAGGGTTAGGATATGAACATATGCATTTTGGGGGGACACAAATATTTAGTCCACAGCAGAACCCAACATACAGTGACTAAAGGGAAACAAAATCCTAGAGCCAAGGTTACATGGTGAATTGTTTTCCGAGTCCTACTAGAATATAGCTGTAGGATGGGAGTTCAACTCAGGCCTGGGTAAGCACCAAACTGATTACAGAAACTGGGATTGGCACAAATTTTGGGGTCAGCAAAGTTAAGAAAGAAACTGGATAGAACCTACTAAAGTTTTTCAAAGTGCTCTTTGAAAAATGAGTACTGTGATCAGATACATTTTATTCATCCTCTTTTGTCAACTTTATTTAATGCACATGAATGGCATGTTACAAGTTCTGAAAAATCAATCAGCTTAATTTTGTTTAGTATTTGATTAAAGCACCATTGGTTTCAAGAAACACTAAAGTTCACATAAATAAATATTCTAAGGCATATTATTTAGGAAACATTATTTTTAAAAATCTGGTGGGAATTTGGTAATATGTATAAGAAAATATCATCTTAAAATGGACACAGGTCAACTTGATCTTTCTCAATAATTTCTAACATGTTTTTATATCTTTGTCCCCAGGTGGCAAAACTGATAACCTGAACCACTTTTCATCTAATTTGGCCTCTAACTGGCTTATTCTGCTAAGAGACACAGATGAAATAATCTTATTTTAAAAAGGAGAAATGAATACAACTTTAATAAAAGTATTACTGCAAGTTAATAAATGCGTAATGTCCTCTTGCCAAAAAGGAGTAATGAATCTTTTACATGAAAACAAATACAGGTGCAATCTAATTTACTTGGTCCACGCTCGCACAGACCTGATTAAACTACCATTTGGTAGATATTATTTTCAAAATAACTACCTCTAAATTCTGTATTTAAAATGTGTAATTTCTCAATGAACTTAAAGTTTTCTACCTGTGATAAGAGCTGGAAAGATTTTCCTCTTCAATTTCTCATTAAAATCAGAAGATACTTTTAATTGTGAAAGGCTCGATAAACCCTAAAGCTACAGATAGCTACTGATATATTGGTAGTCTGCATATTTACGATTACATTAGTGGTTTCTAATATCTTTTATTTGTTTCTACATTCCTGAAAAATATCCTTATGCCAAGTTGAGTTACTAGAAAAATAAGTTCTCAGTTAAATATTAGATTCTACAGCTTGCTGGAAAATAGAGATGTTTCTGCATTCAAATAATTTCTTATACCACTGGTCTTCTGTACATGCAAAATTGCCTTCTTTTTTATGTTTCTAGTCCTCAGGAATGTTAATTCTTCTGTGTGAGTAGTGAACATGCTCAGCCACTAGCTATGGAAGAGTTATACATAAGTTAAAACAAATTGACACTTAACCTTTATTAAATCAGTCCCTAGCCCCACCCCCTAAAGATCAAATCAGCAAAGAATATGAGGCTATAACAAGGCTACTTGTGGTATTGGTTGGAGATCTAAACTCTTTATGGTAGACACTGCTGGCTGCCTACCCAATAGCCCCTCTCCCCTGTTTTCTAACAGAACCATCTTTGGTAGGAGTGCTCACCTAAAAAATTACATTTTCCAACTTTCTTTATAAGTAGAAAATGTCATAACTCTGGTAAATGAAATAGAAGTTGAGGGTTTCTTGTAACACTTTTCTCCCCTGTTAGGACAACAAGAAGTGGTGGTACCTTTTTATCCTCCCTGGAACGTAGATTCGAAGTAAGAGATAAAGCAACCAGATCATGACTAAAAAGATGAAAGCTATACACTAACATTGATGAAGGAGAAATCTGGATGCAGCCTAGGATATTTAAGATATTGGACACCTGCTGCACGAGCCCTGAATTTCTCAAACCAGAATCAGTTTATAAGAAACAAAAATAAATCCCTAATTTTTAAAACCTCACTTCAGTCAAGTTTCAAATGCAATATTAACTGATAGACTCATGACTTGCAACCCAACTCCTGGGAACTTACGGTCAAAGTAAGGAAAGAGTTATGTACGTACAGGTATTCACGGTAGTGTTTTCTATATTGAATTAACACTGAAAACAGATTAGATATCCAACAATGAGAGAATGTTTAAATTATGGTAAAATACAGCTTAGACTACTAGGCTACCATTTAAAAATCAGCTTTTTGAAGACATAATAGTAGAAAAGATTCAAATATAAAATTACATCTGTTCCTTTCATAAATAGCAGAAAAACTATTGGTTGCCTGATCAAGTTATTCCCAACCCCCTTTTCCTTTTCCATCTCCCATTAGAAAGACTGGAAAAGCTTACAATTTCATTTCCCCACTTTTCTTGGGGCTAGAGGTAATAATTTTATACACTCATGGCCAACAGGTGAACACAGATCGACTGTGGATATCTGGAGAAGGTTTTGCTTTTATGAGAAAAGGAAAAGATGTGGAAGGCTCTGCCTCCTTCCCCCCTTTTCCTGTCTTGAATACAGACACATTGCTCTGCACTGCAGTGGCCATCTTACCATGAGGGAAAAGCTAAAAGACCTTCAGAGACCTTGGTATCGTGGAGTCACTGAACCAACGCCAGCTCCTCTAGACTTCTTGTTATGAGAGAAAAATAAATCCCTATTTGAAAAATCATTGCTACTTGGATCTTCTGTTGCTTAAAGTAGGAAACATTCCTACCTGATATAGAAATAGGTAAATTGGGACCTCCCTGGTGGCGCAGTG